TTCTCTGGGCACCCTGTGCCAGCGCCTCAGCACCCTCCCAGGGAAGAGCTTCTGCCTCGTTTCTCATCTCATTCTCCCCTCTGGCAGGTTAAAGCCATTGCCCTTGTTGGCCTGCCCCTACAGGCCCTTGTCCAAAGCCCCTCTCCAGGTTTCCTGGAGCCCCTTTAGGCACTGGAGCTGCTCTAAGGTGTCCCCTTGAGGAGCCTTCTCTTCTCCAGCTGCCCCAAACCAGCTCTCTCAGCCTGGCTCAAGAGCAGAGCTGCTCCAGCCCTCGCAGCAGCTCCGGGGCCTCCTCTGGCCTCGCTCCAGCAGCTCCACGTCCCTCTGGTGCTGTTCCCCAGAGCTGGATCAGGGCTCCCCAGAGCGCGGCAGAGGGGGAGTATGCCCTCCCTGAGCTGCTGCTCACACTCTGGGGGTGAAGCCCAGCACACGAGGGAGGGGGAGTCTGGGTTCAAGCACACACTGAAGCCGGGTCATGGGGAGCTTCTCCTCACCCAAGTCCTTCTCAGGAGAAATGACCACTTTTAGGTGGCCAGCAATAGGCACAAACTGAATTCCAGTTAGATTTGAAAGGCAAAGTGGCTTGAAAGCCTGGCCAAGGCACCGTGTTCATCTCTGATCTGTGCTCAGCCTCCCAGTTTGTAACAGTGGTATAAGAAGCTCGAGATGCTGCAATTCCACACTGAGCTTAGGAGACAAGTGGCATGCCCAGCTCCTGCACCTCCCCCCTCAGGGAACATCACCCCTTCCTCACAGGGCAAGGACTCACCCTGTAATTCCCATTAGAGATAATAAATGTTGGTCTTTCTGTACTTCCACCTGTGCTCAGACAACCTACAAGATCTCCCCCGAGCCTCCAAGTCAGCCTCTGGAGCTGAGCTCAGGCTTTGTTTCTACCTTTCCAAAGCAACCTACAGCCCTACCGAGGTGTCAGAGGAACTCTGACCAGGAAACCACAGGGCAACAGCACTAATTTAGGACACTCAGGTCATGGAGAGCTGCAGGGAACTGTGTGAGCCAAGGATGACAGAGAGCTCCGCACGTGGCGTGGACTTTGACACCCAATGAACACTCGGGGTTGTGAGACCTTCAGGAAACAGAAAAATCACTGTCTTTGGGAAAGCCTTTGGTAACACAACACCCCTCCCTCACTGATCAATCTTCCAGCACACCAGGACAAGCCCAAAGGGTTTTCACACACAAAGCAGCTGCTCTCAGCTGCAAACCCTCACCCAAAGGGAGCACTGCAGAAAGCCTACAAGAACACTGCTACTGCTGCCTCTTACATTGACGATACTCAGGTAGAACCATTGCTCCCAGCACAGATGCTTTCCCTATTCCCTCCCTGCTCCTTTCTCTCCATAACTGGAAAAGAAGCAAAGCCAGAGTCACTCCTGCTGGGTCGTGCTCAAAGGACAAGCCCATTTTCAACCGCTCAGCGTGACCATCAGCTCCATGCAGCTGCCAGGCCCCAGCTGAGGAGGTTCCACATTTGCCCCAGCCAGCTTTTAGTAAGTTAGGAGAGGAAGTTCGGAGCACTGGAGGTTTGTTACTTCCTAGAGGATGTTTTCATTCACCACACACCTCACTGCAGCGCAGAGCAGCCTCTCAGAAGCACGGGGTTTATCTAAGCAGACACCACAGTCACGTACCCAGCAGAGGATTTCAGATCATCACCATTGTGATCATCACCCTTTTTATGGCCTGCAGGGAAGGATTATTTCCTCTTTCCTCCTCCACAAACAAGAGGGACATACCTGCTCCCAGGGAACCCGGAATAAAGTACAAAGTCTTCAGCAGGGCAGGAGGAACACAGAGCATGAACACACAACACATGCTCAACACAGGGTCACCTCTGTGCCACCTTTTGCCTCTGGGACAAAAGGCAACCTCTGCATTTGATTAAGAGAACGTCTCCCAAGAGGTTCATCTGTTATCAAAGAAAACCAAATAAGAGGCAGCAGAAATACAACTCCAGTTTGAGAGGTGCAATCATTAGCAGGTACCTGTGTTAAATAGTGTTTGAATGCCTCCTCCTTCCTCTCTGGCTGTTCCAGAGGCTCAAGCAGAGCTCTGAAGGCTGAGTGCAGGGTCAGGTTCAGCTCTGGCAGCTCACAGTTAAGAAACATCAAGTGCTGAACAAGTTCTGCTGCTCCTGTGGATGCCAGGAACGGGTTCCTGCTGTGCTCAACACTACCCCTGTGTGCAGGTGCCAGAGGGTAAAACACACACTGGGGAGGGTGCTGGGTGCTATTCCCTTGAGCTCGTACTTGACAAAGAGGAGAGAGGCATCGACCTTGTGTTCTGCTTTGACTTCACCTCACCACCAAATGGCCCTTGAAGTCCAGAGCTGAGCCACTGGCAGCCACTGCACAGTCAAGAGGAAAGAGAGGCCAAACTGCAGCCACTGCACCACTGCTTCCATTGTCACCTGATGGCTGCTTGCCCCACACAAACACACATTTTGGACAAGCTGCTGGACAGACAGGAGAAAGGGAGGTTCTGCTGTCAGCTGCTCACCAGCCAGCACACAATGGCACTCCTTTGGGTGACTACCTACAAGATACTTCTTCTGCACAGAATCATTCAGATTGGAAAAGACCTTTAAGAGTCTGGCCCTTAACCCAACACTCTCACATCCACCACCAACCCCTGCCTCTGAGCATCACTTCTTTTAAATACCTCCAATGATGGAGGCTCCTCTGCTCCCCTGCACACCAAGAGCTGGTAATAAAGGAGTGGGGAAGTACCTGGACCCCACAGATACAAAGGTGGAGTTTTCCCATGTCAGGCATTCCAGACTCAGAGGACTTTCTTAGGAGTAGAGGCGATCACAAGAAAGGCCACCCACTCTATGGGGTTTAGGACCTTTTGTAGGACCTTCAAGCTCTTTTGCTTGGTGGGGGTTAGTAGTTTCTATGCTAAAAGCCAAGATTAAGAATTTGCCAGAAGCCTTGTCCATGGAGCTATTGCAAAGTCTGCTTCATCATAACCTCTAATCTGCTGGGGCTGCAATGGTCAACAACAGAAAGGCAGAGAATTCAGACAACACAGCAGCTTCAGTGGAAAATTGTAAAGTTAATTATTATATTATAGCCCCGTGTTAATAATAAAGTAAATCGGGCTTCAGTATGTGATGCTGTTGCCAGCAAGGGAGTTGCTCTGTGAAGAACCTTGAGCACAAAACACTCCGCAGGCATCACTGAATGCACTGATGGGAAGAAGGACACAAGGTCTTCAAGGAAGGGAATTATCCATGCAGGAAAGCCCACAACCCCTTCAGCAGATGCCTCCAAGACAGCCCAAAAGCTCTCGTTAGCTTCAACAACTCCTCCTCCCCTCCAGCACCCCTGGACGCTGCTCAGGTTGGACTTTCAAGACATGTGACCGTGCCCCCCACATTAACCAGACCCTAAGGAAGGATGTGGTGACATTTA